TACTGTGTAATAATGCTAGTTTCCCACATGGCTCAGTGATAAAGAATCCTCCTGCCTGTGCAGGAGATTCGAGACCCAGGTTCTTGATCCTGGGGTTGGAAAGATCCCCTGGAGGAGGAAATGGCAACCCACTCCAGTATTCTTGCCTGGGAAATCCCAAGGACAGAGGGCCCTGGTGGGCTACAGTTCATAGGGTTGCAAAGAGTTGGGCATGACTGAGCACGTATGCACATTTATTAATACTGATGGTGCAAACTCTCTCGAATTTATATTTGTTCATAGCATTACTTATGACTTCTTAGGACTCTTAAAGTTAGGAATAGTAAAGTCAGTACATAAAGAAAGTGAAAAGCTAATTTATGTTTCCAATTATACTGTGGCATTTATGGAGCTTCCCACCCATGTCTCACAATTTAGATAAAATAAGGAAAACAATTTCTCAATCCTTAATAGACATTTACCTATTGTTGCTTTTTCAAATTGTAGCATTTAAGGAATGCTGGTGATCTTTTCTCAAAGAAGTCATAATTTACTATGGAGTAGCAGCTGCTTCCTGAAAATCATTTCCAGTTATTTTATTTAACCCCAAATTTTATTTAGCTCAATGGCAAGCATTTGCTTGATTGATTGGTTGATTTTCATTTTCAAAGATCCACAAGCCTAATTTGACCCTGAACTATCCAAGACACTAGAGTTCATTAGAGAGAAAGAGACAGAAAGGAACATGAAGCTTGCTATCCTAAGTTCCTTAGGACTAGAAAAAATGTGAATGAGACATTAGTAAGGAAAGTATGAAATGATGACTTAGAGACTTGGATATATTCTTCATTACATTAACAAAAACATCTCAGGAATGGTTGACACCTCACACCCCAGAAATTATTTACAGATTAGAGTCATAAATAGCTGTTAATTGCAGAGGATTGTTCATTGAGAAAAATGACTTTTAAATTTTAAATATCTATAAAATACTTGAGTTGCCATAAATTTGCCTACAGAAATTATCCTTGTAAGGCTTGTTTTTCTTATAAGTGCTCTTAAACTTTTTTTCTCTAGTCACTGAGGATTATTGAAAGGATAAGTTCATTTCTAACATGAACTTCACATTTTTTTCCCAGTGCACTGGCCACCATTGATGTCAGTTGGAATTTTCCCTAAATCAACAGCAGCCCTACTTTTTGCTATACAGAGGAGTAAATGAAAAGAGAGCTCAGGTTTGTAGAGAAAAAAATTGTGAGAATTTTCACAATGTTATGATAAATTACATGCTACAAATCAATAAACCCACACCTTGAAATTAAGTATTCTATTGCAAAAACTTCTCTCCTGACACTAGGATGTAAAAGCTACAAGTCAATGAGAAGTCACAAAATGAATGATATTGAAATTTGTTATTGTTGTTGTTATTCAGTCACTAAGTCATGTCCAGCTTTTTGTCACCCCATTGACTGCAGCATGTTAGGCTTCCCTGTCCTTCACTATTTCCCAGACATTGCTCAGATTCATGTCCACTGAGTCCGTGATGGTATCTAATCATCTCACCCTCTGCCACCCCTTTATCCTTGTGCTTTCAATCTTTTCCAGAATCAGGGTATTTTCCAATGACTTGGCTCTTCACATTAGGTGGCCAAAGTATTGCAGTTTCATTCACCAACAGTCAATCCATAGAATATTCATGGTTGATTTCCTTTAAGATTGACTGGTTTGATTTCCTTGCAGTCCAAGGAACTCTCAAGAGTCTTCTCCAGCATCAATTCTTGGGTGCTCAGCATTTCTTATGTGAGGGTCCAACTCTCACATTCATACATGACTACTGAAAAAAACTATAGCTTTGACTATATGGGCCTTTTTGGTAAAGTTATATCTCTGCTTTTATATATGTTGTCTAGGACTCTCATAGCTTTTCTTCCAAGGAACAAGCATCTTTTGATTTCATGGCTGCAGTCATTGTCCTTAGTGATTTTGGAGCCCAAGAAAGAAAATCTGTCACTGCTTCCACTTTTTCTACTTCTATTTGCCATGAACTGATGGAACTGGATGCCACGATCTTGGTTTCTTAAATATTGAATTTTAAACTAGTTTTTTCACTCTCTTCTTTCACCCTCATCAAGAGGCTCTTTAGTTCCTCTTCATTTTCTGCCATTACAGTGGTATCATCTGTGTATTTGAGGTTGTTGATATTTTTCTGGGCAATCTTGATTACAGTTTGTGCATAATCCAGCCTGGCATTTCACATGATGTACTCTGAATAGAAGTGAAATAAGCAGGGTGACCAAATACAGCCTTGATGTATTCCTTTCCCAATTTGGAACCAGTCCATTGTTCCAAGTTTGGTTCTAACTGTTGCCTCTTGCCCTGCATACAGGTTTCTCAAGAAACATTTAAGGTAGTCTGGTATTTCCATCTCTTTAAGAATTTTCCACAGTTTGTTGTGATCCACACAGTCAAAGACTTGACTGTTGTCAAAAGCAGATATTGAAATAAACTGATTCAATGATTTCTGCTACTGTTAGTTATGATGACAAAATAAAGACTTTATTGCTCTTTCATGGACTATACTAGTAGATTGACAACATAGAACTTCTATTAAGGGAATACTAATGTAGATAAAATAAAAACATAATGTAAAAATCAGAATATACACACACACATATATATATAAAGAGAGGATGCTAATAATATGTAGATAGGAGAGATTTGGAAGAAAAATAGTTTTCTCCTGAAGATAATGTTTTATTTTAGATATTGACACACTTTGGTTTCCTTAGCTCATGACACAGATCCAATATACTTAATGTCCACTCTGCCTCCTTTCTACTCTTGATTATCTAATATCTGAGAAGACCACTGAAACAGATACATGACCTGGATTTCTTTATTCCGTTATCTGGGGCTTCAGATGAGTAGGAGGTTGAGAAGATGAGTGCCAGTCTGACTCAAAATTTAGAAATCTGTCATGTAGATAAATATTTATCTTCAGTGATTTTCCTTTTGGAAACATATGCACTGAATGGCCTTTTTCCTGACACATTTGGCTCTTCTGTATTACACTAGGAAACAATCAGTATATGATAAACTAGGTGACAGACATTCAGTTCAGTTCAGTTCAGTCACTCAGTCATGTCCGACTCTTTGCGACCCCATGAATCGCAGCACGCCAGTCCTCCCTGTCCATCACAAACTCTCAGAGTTTACTCAAACTCATGCCCATCGAGTCGGTGATGCCATCCAGCCATCTCATCCTCTGTCGTCCCCTTTTCCTCCTGCACGCAATCCCTCCTAGTATCAGGGTCTTTTCCAACGAGTCAACTTTTTGCATGAGGTGGCCAAAGTTTTGGAGCTTCAGCTTCAGCATCAGTCCTTCCAATGAACACCCAGGACTGATCTCTTTTAGGATGGACTGGTAGGATCTCCTTGCAGTCCAAGGGACTCTCAAGAGTCTTCAACACCACAGTTCAAAAGCATCAATTTTTCGGCGCTCAGCTTTCTTCACAGTCCAACTCTCACATCCATACATAACCACTGGTAAAACCATAGCCTTGACCAGATGGACCTTTGTTGGCAAAGTAATGTCTCTGCTTTTTAATATGCTATCTAGGTTGGTCATAACTTTCCTTCCAAGGAGTAAGCGTCTTTTAATTTCATGGCTGCAGTCACCATCTGCAGTGATTTTGGAGCTCAAAAAAATAAAGTCTGACACTGTTTCCACTGTCTTCCCATCTATTTCCCATGAGGTGATGGTGCCAGATATCATGATCTTAGTTTTCTGAATGTTCAGCTTTAAGCCAAATTTTTCACTCTCCTCTTTCACTTTCATCAAGAAGTTTTTAGTTCCTGTTCACTTTCTGCCATAAAGGTGGTGTCATCTGCATATCTGAGGTTATTGATATTTCTCCTGGTGATCTTGATTCCAGCTTGTGATTCTTCTAGCCCAGCATTTCTCATGATGTACTCTGCATATAAGTTAAATAAGCAGGGTGACAATATACAGCCTTGACATACTCCTTTTCCTATTTGGAACCAGTCTGTTGTTCCATGTCCAGTTCTAACTGTTGCTTCCTGACCTGCATACAGGTTTTTCAAGAGGCAGGTCAGGTGGCCTGGTATTCCCATCTCCTTCAGAATTTTCCACAGTTTATTGTGATCCACATAGTCAAAGGCTTTGGCATAGTCAATAAAGCAGAAATAGATGTTTTTCGGGAACTCTTTTGCTTTTTTGATGATCCAGCGGATATTGGCAATTTGATCTCTGGTTCCCCTGCCTTTTCTAAAACCAGCTTGAACATCTGGAAGTTCAAGGTTCATGTATTGCTGAAGCCTGGCTTGGAGAATTTTGAGCATTACCTTACTAGCGTGTGAGATGAGTGCATTTGTGCGGCAGTTTGAGCATTCTTTGGGATTGCCTTTCTTAGGGATTGGAATGAAAACTGACCTTTTTCAGTCCTGTGAGGATAGGATGATTTACTGAGGTTGAAGAAAAGACAAAGAGTATCCCAGTAGGAGGGGATCCTATGGAGACTCTTTTTAAGAGTCAACAGGTAGCAAATACTAGGTTTGAGAAAAACATAGATTATAATTCCTGGTTTTCCTCTGAAGGATATGTTGTTTGTATACGATTTTTAAAAATATTTTTAGCCTGATGTCAATTTGTAAACTAGGAATTTTGTAAAGTAACATTCTATGTGAAACACAAATCTGACATGTGGTAAAAACTTACTTCAAAACAAGTTATCTATTTCATTAACTTTTAAACAATCTCCTGAATTATGTTAGCAGGGCATACTAGGTTTACTTCCATAGACAAGTCCCACTGCTATACATTGATAATCCCCTTTTCTGTGTCTTCTCTTTGTGTTTTCTCCTGAAGGTTACTCAAAAGAAGAAGAAGAAAAAATGAGAAACTACACAGAAATAACAGAGTTTATTCTCCTGGGACTGTCAGAAAACCCACAACTTCGGGTTGTGAGCTTTATCTTTCTGCTCATCACCTACATGCTCAGCATCACTGGGAACTTGACGATTATCACCCTGACTCTGTGGGATGGCCACCTCCAAACCCCCATGTATTTCTTCCTCAGAAATTTCTCCTTAGTAGAAGTTTCATTCACAACTGTCAGTATACCCAAGTTCTTGGCCACCATTATTACAAGAGATAAAACCATCTCTTTTAATGATTGTAAGGCTCGATTATTATTTTTTTTTTCATTTTCTTGGGAATCACTGAGTTTTACCTTCTGGCTTCCATGTCCTATGACTGCTACATTGCCATCTGCAAACTGCTGCATTACATGGCCATCATGAATCACAGAGTCTGCACACTCCTTGTCTTGGCCTCTTGGCTGGCTTCATTCTTAATCATATTCCCATTAGTAATGCTCTTCCTACAGCTTGATTACTGCAAGTCTAATGTTATCGACCATTTTAGTTGTGGTTATTTCCCCTTATTATACCTTTCTTGTTCAGACACCAAATTTCTAGAGATAGTAGGGTTTTCCTGTGCTGTGGTTATTCTATTGTTCACTTTAGCATTAATAATTCTGTCCTATACATATATCATCAGAATAATTTTGACGATCCTTTCTACCACTCAGAGGACAAAGGCCTTTTCCACATGTTCTTCCCACATGATTGTCATCTCTATCTCTTATGGCAGCTGCATTTTCATGTATATGAATCCATCAGCAAAGGACAGGGTGTCTTTGACCAAGGGGGTGGCTGTGCTAAATGCCTCCATACCTCCCATGCTGAACCCCTTTATCTATACCCTAAGGATTCAGCAAGTCAAGCAAGCCTTCATGGAAATGGAAAGGAGGACTGTATTTTTCTCAAGCAAATGAAAAAATAAAAGTCCTGTTTTATGAATTAGACACATATGAATGAAAAGCAATTAAATTAAAATCCAGGAATTTCAAAATCTACTAATATCCACACAGCCTCCCTAGATTCATTTTTCATCATTCATATTTTTATTGCCAGCAGTTTATCAAGGATATTTGCAAATGTATATTTTCTTTTTGCCATTCAAATTTGAATTCTTCATATATATATATATTTATATATATACACATATACACAAATATATGGTTATACATATGTGTACAGTTTTTTTTTCCACTCAATTTTCAATCCTCATCTCGTGTACTTTTCTTCCTTTAGGGCTGGTTTTACCAGTCTGTAACTATGGGAGTGATTTTATTTCCTTTGAAACGTTTTTTATTTCATTATTTCACACTAATTTTTAGAAAATTAAAGTCAGAAAGAGGCAGAGCAGGTGCACACAAGAGAGAATAGTGTTTTATGATTTGACCAGAAATCAATCTTTCTAGAAATTAAATGAATATAAAATCATATTTAACTTTATTTTTAATTTACTACACAAAGACTATAAACATAATCTGACAGTCTTACTAGAATCTTGCACATGCTCTCCTTTTCATACTGTGGCCTACTTTGTAACTATGTGAAAAACAGTACAACTAAAAGAAAAATGTAATTACATTTTCTTGAGAAATCAAAAAGCTTTTCCCATAATCGAGTTTAACATTTTCTGTGCTGTTGTTCATTCGCTCAGTCATCTCTTTGTGACCCTGTGCACTGCAGACTCCCCGGCTACAGAAGGCTGCAGCCAGGCTTCCCTGTTCCTCACTATCTCCTTTGTTCAAACTCATGTCCATTGAGTCTGTGATACCATTCCAACATCACTATATTATTCTTCAATTCAAAAACTATCATAATGAATAGTTGCTTAGGGAAAATTATGATGCAGACCCTGCTTTGGGAGAATGTCAATATTAACATGTATACGATAACAACTCTCTTAAAAAGCCTGAAGAAACTGGCAACTTAAAAAAAATTTGAGAGTTTGTGTTAAGTTTCTCGGTGGGCAATATGAGCAACCCAGGAGAGAGTGCCTCAAATAACTCTGAGAAATTTGAGAAACTGTTCCAAAGAGGTACAGGGGAAGGATAGTATACATGTGATTTTGACAAATGGGGATTATATGCAATTAAGCACATATTTATTTTAGAATTTCTGCTGGTCTTGTGAAGCTTCTGCCAGTTGTGAGAAATAATTTGCACCATGAAGAATTTTAGTACTTTTCTAGGTATGGGGAGATACAATAATTGGGCTCATAAAGTCAGCTCCTGAGTGTATCTAACTATCTGAAAACTGTCTTGGCAGTTTTCCTGGAGCAGAGAGTGACTCATTTCCTCTCTCTACCCTCACTCCTTCAGGGGGTGTTGAAGGTCAGCAATTGCAGCAGCACATGATTTAATTTTTGTAGCTGTTATATGGCAAGTACCCAAGCAAATTGCCAATTTGTAGTTGCTGGATACCAAATATGACTACAGTTGCTATGGTCAGTTTTATATTTAAATAAATGCTTGATGTTGAGCTGGTCTTTTGATAATCAATAACTAAGGGTTTTTTTGTTTGTTTGTTTTTTTAAATAACTTTCTCATATTTGTGGCTATTTTGAGATAATACCTTATACATACAATTCTTTTAATTGCCTCTTTAAGTGATATGCCTGATCAGTAGTAGAGAAACTAGCAGTAGCAAAGTTTTATTATATACAAAACTGAGATTTTCTTGTTAAAAATGCTTGTTTTAAGCATTAGAGTATTACATCATATGGAAAATGTACTGATTAGAATTTATATGAACAATTGTACAAGATCATGCAATTCTGGCCCTGAACATTTTTTTTTTCTATTTTCCATGAAGTCAAAAACTGAAATAATGGAGAGTGCTCAAACTCCTCCTAATTTTTTAAACCATTATTATAGAAAGACTGTAATCATAATTCATTGAACTAAGTTCTGATATTTATGTACTACACTCAGTTGAGAGTCTTAGATACATCATTTGCTGAAACACAAAGAAAATAACTTATAAACCATACTGAGGAGATTCCACACTGTAGGGAAATCATGCAGTTACTTTTTCCTCCCCTCATGCTGGACATTTATAATTTCTAAGCTTAATTGGAAACGTGAAAATACTGAAGTTAGACTTGATTGATAACTGTAACTTCTTAATGACTCAGAAAATATGACATAGACTGTAGATAGGTGTAGTTCTAGTAATTAAAAGAACCGTAAGATTATTGCAAAAGATATGAGAGAGTTTATGTTGATATTATCAGATAAACAGCTCTCTACATAACACCATGCAAATTCCTTAGTGGTTATTATAAATGTTTGCAATCTGTATGAGCATTTTGATTATCAATATCACAAGTCAAGACATATTTTTTCTATAAAATTTTTCTATAAAAATTTTCTTTTCTATAAAAAGGTCATATATGAATAATTTAGAATTTGTAGACCATAAGTCCTTGAGGTAACTAACTTTCCCCCTCTGTAGTGTGGATGCAGCTATGAACAACATGTAAATGAAAGGGCTAAGTCATGTCTAATAAAGCTTTTAATAAAATAGTTCATGGGCCAAATTTGTCCAATAGGCTATAGATAATCCACTTGCTGTCTTAAAATTTCCCATAAAGTTTGACCAATTGGGCAACAATCTTATAATATATTTCCAGTAAAAAGATAAAATAAATATTTCTGCAATTACAGGTACCTCATAAAGTTGTTGGCAGGATTCAAAGAAGCAATATGAAGAAAACAATTAGAATAGATCTGGACTATAGTAATTGCTGAAAAAAATTGCCTCTACCCTCCTCTTTCTTTTCCTCCTCCTCATTATTATCAGAAGTACTATTAATAGTATAAAGAATTTATATATATATATGAGTTTCTAATCTTTTTTTAAGCTCAGTAAGCATTGTAATGTTCTGTGACATTTTATTGATTATTTACATAGTCTTTTACATGCTTAAAAGGCTTTACAGTGTAGAATAGTTTTCTATAGTGATCTTAAAATACTTTCCAGAATCTCATCCTTGAGTACCATAAAGCTACATTTCTTTTTTAAAATTTCATAGCATATATACTTTATTGAAGCATAGTTGACTTACAGTGTTTCAGGTACATATCCAGGTAATTCAGTTACACATATACACATATATTATTTTTCAAATTATTTTCCATTATAGGTTATTACACAATATTGTTTATAGTTCCCTTTGTGATATAATAAAAATTTGTTGCTTGTTGTATATCTATTTTTATAATTAGAAATATAGCATTCTATTAATACTAAGTCAAACAAGCTGAGTCAAAATGTCAAATTTTTCACTTAGGAAAAAATTCAAAAATTGTCTAAGATATATATATATATATATATATATATATTCTACAAATACTATTTATATATATATATGTATATGAAAACTTTTCTACTATGCTTGATAAAAGCTTGAGAAAGGACATAAAAAATAAAGTAGAAGAGGTGGAGAAATCTGAAAACAAAAGCTAAATGACATGGGAGCACTGAATATGAAATAGAAAAAGTGAAACCTACCAGATAAAAGTAAAAGATCATGCTATGGTCCAGTTCTTTTTAAACATGGCTGCTCTTTAGAAACATATCTGGAGCTTTGGAGGAAATAAGCAATACCTGGGCATTTGTATTTTTCAAAAAATTCCAAGATAATTCAGATATGCATCTTAATTTTAAAATGTGATTATAGGTTTTCCTATTAAATGTTTGTGTTGATGATATAGAATTCTATTGTTGACCAATAATGATACAATGATATTAAGTGAGTAATAGTTACATAATCACTATAGTAAATGATGTTTATCAGTTTTCACAATCATTAGCCAGACAAAAAAATTAAAGATAACTGCAATTGCAAGCTATAATGGGAATGTGATTAATCTAATAATATAAAATAATTACATACAGTTTGGGAGGTTAAGCAGAGTGATATAGTAATTGGAAGTACATACATGCACATGTTTTCATCCACCCAGTCAGTCTATGTCTTTTGGTTGGTGCATTTGACTCATTTACATTTGAGGTAATTATCAATATGTATCATTCTATTATCATTTTCTTAATTGTTTTCGGTTTATTTTTTGTAGGTCTTTTCCTTTTTTCCTGCTTAGAACAGTTCCTTTAGCATTTGTTGTAAAACTGGTTTGGTGGTGCTGAATTCTCTCAATTTTTGCTTATCTGGAAAGCTTTTGATTTCTCCATCAAATCTGAATGAGAGGCTTGCTGGGTAGAGTATTCTTGGTTGTAGATTCTTCCCTTTCATCACTTTAAATAGATCATGCCATTCCCTTCTGGCTTGTAGTGTTTCTGTTAAAAAGTCAGCGGATAACCTGGCGGAAGTTCCCTTGTATGTTATTTTTCCCTTGTTACTTTTAATATTTAATAAAGTTCTTATATAACTTAGAATTATGAAAGAAACTTGAAGCTCCAACAATAATGAAGTCTAAGGATAAGCAATGAAGTGTATATGTAGAAAACTTTTATACGTCAAAAATATGACTAAAACTAAAGTAGAATGAGTGCTATTTTTGTAAGATTTCACATCTATTTTATTACTAAAAAATATTAAATAATTGTGATTAATAAAAGGGATTATTTTGTAGAAGTCCTCATTGAACTCTTCTGTGTGGTGAACATAAACATTCCCAAGAGAGATTCACTATAGACAAGGGTCAGGAGGCTCTGAGAACACCAATGATAGCTTCCAGAAATCCCCGATGTTCCACGTCACAGCACAGCTGTCGCCTAGACTTTGTTCCCAAGAGATCAACACATGTCTCTCTTCATAGGTCACAACAGCTAAACTTGAACATTTGAGCGTTTAGTGCAACTAAATGCCAGATCCTAGTTTAAGAATCTACACTCGTAATACCCCCAAGTTGCCATGTCACTTGCATTTCTCGCTTTAAATATTGCTCCCTTAAACTTC